AGGATTTGAACCGGCAACCTTCTCACTGAGAGGCAGCAGCTCTACCAACTGATCCACCATACTGCCCTGAATAAAACTCCAAAATAAATCATCGGTTGTGGATCAACAGGATGTGAATAAACTTTTAGTCTCAACCCATTTCAAGATGGCCACCACAGCCAAATGGTTTTAGAAAACACAAAAATGGCTACATCTTAGCTAATTGTACAGATGTTGAGGCTGAATTTGGTGTGGAATTATCTGGGAGACAGCATATAATCTGTCTCTTCTAAGATGATCTTAGTTTAGAACTAGATGGTGGCGGGTGACATGCATTCCTCTCAGGAGTGATGGACCTTTACCTTTTTATTGAGGTGAGCCAGAAGGCCAGAAGCGGATTATCTTTGCCCAGGATTAGCTTCTTATGCACGTTTTATTGGCTCACATGCACAAGATCAGTGCACGACAACAAACAGCCAGCGTGTTTCTGCTCCGGGTTCAGAAACTGCCGCAGCTTCAGCTCACCAACAGACCTGTCACGTCTCGTTTGTTTCATTCATAATGAAAACAAAGCCGAGGGCGTGTTTTCATGGGAGATTTCATTCTAGATTATTTCTAGGTTTGGAGTCTTGTCATGACTCTCAACTCAGAAAAAGTACCTGGAAGAGAATCAGTGACTCATGTAATGCCAGTTATTTTCACAAAGTGGATTAAAAACAAGCTCTAATGCACAACTCAACTAGTTCATGATAGAAATCTCTTCTATCCCCGTAAACTCTCAAGGTTTGACCAAAACATCTACAAACCCATCATTTTTCAGCAAACGATAATCTTAGTGTTTGGCATGAAAAGGCTGCAGGTGATGTGTATTATTTTAAGCAATGATAGGCCTTTAATTCCCTCTGATTTATTCAATTCAGTTTATTTATAAAGCAACAAGTCGCAGCAGAAGTCTTCTCAGGGCGATGAACACCGAGAGGACAGGAAGTAGAAACGGACACAGAATGGCAGATCTGAGATGGAAACGAGCAGGTCCCTCTCTCGGAGGAAAGACTAAAAAACACATGTTCAGATAGAAATAATTACAAATACAAATTATTCATTTGTATTCATCAGAAACTATTCATTTGAGGAAGCTAGGTCAATTTGTCCTCCATCAGCCTAAGTCTATAGCAACATAGGATAAGGGACAGCTCAGGAAACCCAAGCCAGCCCTAGTATAGATTTATCACAAAAGAAAGACTTAATGTTGGCAGCACGACGGCTCAGTGGTTAGCACCATTGCCTCACAGCAACAAGGTCCTGGGTTCAATCCCCGGATGGACCTGGGGTCTTTCTGTGTGGAGTTTGCATGTTCTTCTCGT